ATGAATAATTTACAGATAATACAATCTACAGTTATTTTAAAATTGTCAATGTTAATTAAAATTATTTGAATTTGTTTTGAAAGGTTTTAAGCACCGATAGCGAAGGCAAATGTTTTCGATGTTCGCATTATGAGAGTACAAGATGTACTGACGAAATGTATGGATCGCGTTTTGAAAGTGCTACACGTTCAATATTTATTGACAGTATTGCGATCCGCGAACCAGATTTCAAATTTTTTTAAAATTTTGCGATATGGATCACGATACATCAATACTGCATGCTACACCGTCAATAAATATCGCGATACTTGGATCCCGTCGATAAATACTGACCGTGACTGTACATCGAGTGGAAAATTTTCGATAGGTCCATTCTTCTGCAACCGAGCTACAAAAGGACACTCGCTTAAATGACGAAATACAAGCAAAGCAACAACACAAACTCTGCTATTTATCCGGGTTCAGCCAGGTCGATTTAAACATACGCGACCTGAAGAGTAGTGTTGTTAAGTGGAAAAAACTGCTCTATTGTGAATTGTCAATGGGAAAGTTTAGAGAGAAATTTTTGTTTTCGTATATACATGATTTACATTTTAAATAAGTATATATATTACGCAAATACCTCACATAATTACTAATTTCTATTGTTTTTTGTGTCTAAATACCGATGAACTAATCACATGTTTCTTGCCAGCTACCAGCAGGGTTGCTTAAGTAGCTGAAAGGAAATTTTAACCGAGTTGAGCGTTTCTTTTGTCGCTCGCTTACAAAAAAAAAAATGCAGCTGATGCATCGAAGAAAAACATCGATATTTTCGAGGCATTGATGTTTTTTCGAAATCCCTATTAGAGGCCGGAAACTATCGATAGTAGGCACCATCGATAGTGTGCGATAGTTTTTTTTACAAACCATTTAATTTAAATTTTTTTATTTTAGACTATCGATATTCTGCGATAGTTTTATATTGAATTATAAAGGCTGCATCTCTTTATTCATTCTGAACGTTTGGAATAAACTTTTTTGTCTACTTATTCTTTAGAACTTTCCTGATGGTATGTTAACGTACATATATTTCAATCGCATTCTGTTTATTCTGGCTCTGAAATGTGATTATCCGGAATGTATAAAGAAACGCAGCCAAAATGTACCGCCTTAAATAACCTAACGAAAGTGTTATGCCCGCGAAGAAGTTACTGGAATTTCTCCCAATGATCTGGCGCTTCATACTTTTTCCTCCTCACTCCCTGGTGACAACAATTATCCGCTTAGATGGTGAGTTTGTCCTTGCAACTGTATAGTGTAGCTGGTGGCAATTGCGAAATGGGGGAGTATCGCATGTCTACAGAAATCTAATATATGTACATAGACTCATTGCCGACGAAATATCTTAAATGTTTTATCAAGCAGCGCAATAGTTCTGGTGATTGATTAACGGAAGTCATTTGAGATTGACCCCTGGAATCCTGGTGTCTCCGAATGAAGCTTTAATGCTGAGTAACAAATCGGAGGAGAAGATCGGCCAAGCACTAAAATATGTGTAAGAGCCAATCTATTATTATTGTTATTATACTAGACAATAGTTTCCTACTTTCAACCCGCGTATCAATGAAATCGAAAAATTATGAGCTTTATGCTTCAACTGCAGCACCATGATTTACGGCTATCTGCTGCACCTCATCCTTTTACTATGTTGGCAGTGGCTGGCATCCTTTTAAATGCGCCGATCCAAGATGGTTGCTATTCTTGTCCCTGATTAGTGATCGTATTGTATAAGCATTTCTTCAGCCCACAAAATAAAACATCGCATAAATCGTTGTTTCCCATACACCATACCAAAAGCTAATAAGATTTTAATGAGCGACCATTTCCAAATTTTGTTTCGACACTTGCATTTTCTCTTAACTATCGATGGTCAATACGATAGTCTAAAACCATCGATAGTGCCGATAGTGCTATCGATTGTTTTCGACTTCTAATCTCTATTGTGTGAATTGTAATTTTTGTGGTAGTAAAGGTCTGTGTAAGAAATCCAAAACTTCTTTTCCAGGACGTTTTGCAAATAACATCGCGCGATAAGTTAGCGTTAATCTGGGCTATAACATACGAGTTTACAAACCTCTAAATTGTGCCAGATGCCTTTAATTTGTTAACATTCTGATTGTTTTATGGGTAAGAAGAAAATACATCTTTACATGTGTATGTATGCAGGTTTCTAGTGTAGTACAGTGTTGGCATTTTTGGTACAATTGTACTCTTTTTCATTCACAATAGCTGGTTTCTTTACTTTTCTAAAGGCCTGTATGCAGCTCTCAAGAAAACGGTCAAGAAAAAAATCTCCATATTTCGTGTGTGTGCAAGGAATTTTGACATCTGATACTTCACAGCCTGTCACTGCCTGTTGCCTCACTCTTTCCTCAAGAAATAGTGGTACGGGCTTATATTTCTGTTGCGAGCATGGGTTGCCTTGGGCTCTTTTTTCACAAAAAACTTTAGAAAAACGTAGTAGAAAGCGGAGCAAATTTCTTAAGAACTGCGTACTACCTTAAGGAAATTTGACACAAGAAAATTTCTTAGCCTTTTCTTGTACGTCATTTTATATGGAGTTTTTGCTTTTCTTGAGAGCTGCACCCAGGCCTTTATAGGCTGTTAACATCGAATCCGCAATCGTGCGAATTCCGATGTACAATTCACGGTAGTAGTCCACTTTAGCGGAACAGGTCAAAATTGACGGGAAAATTCGAGAGGGGTTTTGTATTTTAATTTTTTTTGTACCAATTACGAATTTAGACTTTATTTTGTATTTTTCTTGTATGTTATTTGTTTTTGTTTTTCTTTATTTTACTTTTTATTTTTAAAGTATTTTTTTAATTTTTTTAAATTGAGGTGGTTAAATGCTTCTCTAAAAAAATAATAATTTTAAATTTCAAAAATAATTATCTATAGGTAGTGATAAATACAAATAAAGGATCAATCCAGAATTGCTCACGCGTTTACAGCGCCAGTGAAGAAGATGAATGAAATAAAAAAAAAAATTTCAAAATGTGCAAAATTGAGCAAATTCATCTTAAACTTTGACTTTGATTTTCATTCATTTTTTATTTTTTTTTTTAACTTTTCTCTATATACATATGTTTCTGCAGTGGAAAAAGGGATCGTCAAAGTATCCGAAAATAGAATCGGTAAACGGACCAAAACCCACACTTCATCCACTTTTTCTTTTTTCGCTTTCGCATTTTTTGCTGATTGGGACATTTAGGTATCCGCAAATATACACATGAACGAAAGACATT